GAAATGCTCCCGAGATTCAATTTATGATTGATTCAGAGAGGTTGGCCTGTAGCAACGCATTTCCAGTCTTGGAGGGGTTGGTTCTTCAAAATTTGAATTTAATGGAGAAGATATGTCATGATCGGGACCTGCAAGGAGCAGCATCTTTTAACAAATTAAGGATCATAACCATTGAATGTTGTCATCAGCTCAAGAATTTGTTCTACTTGTCTGTAGTGAAACAGCTTCTCCAACTCCAAAAAATTACCTTGAGAGACTGTGAGATCATTGAAGTGATTGTTGCTGAAGAGGCACAAGTAACTGTCCACGAGATTGAGGAAGCAGCTACAAAAATTGAGCTTGGCCAAGTACAGTCCCTGAGATTAGAGAAACTGCCTAATTTTATTTGTCTCTCCCAGGAAAAGAATAGTAGCATCAGAGATCAAGAAAGGAGTCAGTTGACAACCTCTAGACGTAGGTCACTTTTCAATGAAAAGGTATTTAATTTATTTATTTCCTTAATCTTTTAAAATTTTTTCAAGTTACTCCGTAACATTTTTATGGCATATATAAGGGATTAAACGATGAGCTTGTTTAGTTGACACTTGACAGTAGTGGATATTGATTTGTTAAATTATAAAAACTAACTAAATTTTAGATATGTTCATAGAAAAACATTGTATGTTTTTCAGGTTATTTTCCGAATGCTTGAGGAGTTGGAACTGACTGATATTAAGATTGGCAAGATATGGAACACTTCAGCAACAACTGAGTGCGTTCAGAAGCTTGCCAAATTGAGCATTGTTTCCTGTTGTGATTTAAAATATCTATTCACATCCTCTTTGGCTAATGGTCTGGTGAAGCTTCTTCACCTTGAAGTAGAAGACTGCAAGAGTTTGAGAGAACTCATCGCCACGGAGTCTGGTCCTGAAATAGGTAATATAGAATATTTCTTTTCTTTAGTTGAACTTTATGCAGATAAAACAACTTGGAGAAAGCAACCTTAATATCGATCATATGGGAAAAAAAAAAATTTTAAATGTATCAAAATTAATTTAGAAATACCTTAATTATGTCAAAAAAAATAAATATATAAGTACAACTTTAAATATAGATTTACCATAAGTAGTTTTTTAAATCCTAAAATATAAAAAGAAAAAAAAATTTTGCGTTTTATTTATTTTTAAAAAAGACTGAGAGTTAATTTTGGTGCTGAACTTTAAATTTTACATGTTTCCTTTTGCACTAATTTGGTCAATAAACTAATAATAAAAATCTATATTAAGGGACTTAAAAACTACTTAAATTAATTTAGGGAAGAGCTTTTTCTGTGCACATTTAAGAATTAAGAAACGAAAAAAATGTTTAAATTAATTCCAATATGAAAAAGTGTCAGTTTAAAGTCTAGCAAATAAAATTACCATTTAACCTTGAGAAAATGTTGTTGGGCTTATCCATGCTATTCATAATAGCACTACTGTTATGGTGTTATATATTCAATTAGTAAAATGTGAGCCAACAATAAGGCCCCACATCAACTAGTTAAGAAATTAAAGGCTGTGTCTTCACAATCTGGAAGTTGTGGGTTCGAGTTGTTTTAAAGGATGGTCTTCTTTATTTATTTATTTTGTGTAATGTGCGTAAATATTTTTTTAACCGTAAAAGATAAGTTTTTTCATTTAAAGTACAAGGACTATTATAATTTATTCATTGATTATAATCTTCTCACATGCTAATAATTGTTTACCTCTACAGCCTC